CTCTAGAAGTTCTAAAATCTGGCCCGTTCGTGCGTTTGTGCGTAGCATGCCTCTCTCTCTCCCTCTCTCTCTCTCTCTCTCTCTCTCTCTCTCTCTCTCGCTCTCATCCGCCTTGTCCACACACCCCACCCTCAATTCCGGTGCAGTACTAACGACCCTCGCATCCTGGGTTGACGTGTGGATGTTTGGACGTGTGAAATGGGTCACTTACTTGCCTTTTTTAGGGCCCGGGAAGCGTCTAATTTTGGAAAGTGCCTCTGCCGGATAGGGAGCGAAAGAGAGACAGAGGAAATTCGAGGGGCCAACGAGCAGCCGGCAATATATTGTTTTTCAGAGGCTAGGGTTTGGTGATTAGAGATCGAGAAGCAGTTACACCGAGCTCGAACTCACTCACGGTTTTTTACAGAAAGGAGCGCTAGAATGATAAGCTTTTAACGGGACTGGGCTGGAGGAAAAATCTAATGCATTCGTTTCGGAAAAATACAAAAACTTTCTTAATTTTCCCAAAAAAAAATCAGAAAATTTCAGTTCATAAATTAGCATAAACAACACTCCGAATAACAACAAAAACGCATCCTGGGTTGACAATTCCCAACCCGCAACAATTCGAGGTGTACAAAACGAGGGTGGACCCGTTTGGGGGTGGTACTTGCTCGTCGTCCTCCCGCCGTGAATCCAGTTACCCCCTCCCCGTCCCGTCATCCGGAGCCTTTCGGGCTTTTCTCCCCTGTTGGTCAACACCCAGATTTGCATATCTTCGGGCCGGCGACCAAGTGCGTCTCAAAAATAGCCATGGAATGTCGTATATGAGGATATTTTGGGTGCAAATCAAGGACAGGTGATTTTAAAGGGACTGGAAGGTCAAGAATCCTGCTAGAAAATTGAAAAATGCGCCTGAAACTTTTTCAAAAGCTTTAAAATTAGATTAAATCTTTTTTTGGCTGAATTTATCGCTTTATTAATTGTAAAGTGAAGTAGAAGCTTGGGAAAGACCTAGAAAAAATCTAGCATCGATTTTAGACGGAGACAGTTTGAGCAGAGACCTTCAAAAACCGTTTACCCGATTTTAAACGGCGCGGCAGCTTGAGGAAGAGCTTGAAAACCCTTATAAAATTTGCAGGGATGTCGAATTTACTACAAATTCGGGTTCTGTTCTATTTCGCGGGGGGGGGGGAAAAACTGTGCGGGGGGGGAAATATGCTTCGCGGAATTTTCCATCTTTTCGCTATTTTCTCGGGATTTTTTGCAACGCCATTCGAAAGAGCATCAAAAAATATACTAAGAGTTTTTGTTTTAGCTAAAAATATTGTAATATAAAAAAAGTTATAGCAAAAACAAAAAAAACTATTGAAACTGGTTCCGGAATGTTAGTTTTTGGCATTTTCGCCATTTTTTCGATATTTTGAACCTGTCATTCGATAAAGCATGAAAAAATATACTAAGAGTTTTAATTTCATCTTAAAATATTGTTTTATAAAATAGTTATAGCAAAAACAAGGTTTATACGGTGTTTCCACATGGGATCGTGGAGTCGAAAGCTAGTTTTCGACATTTTAGAACTTTCAAAAATGTCTTGAATGCCATTCGATAGAGCGTCAAAAAATTACAGGTGAGGCATATATATCGAAGCACTTACAGAAGGCCCTCAAAAATTTAAGAAAGCTCGGTGGGCCGTGTTATTTTGGCAAGATGTAGCCTCTAGTGCTACTTCCAAGTTCCCAAAATAACAGAACCTGGCATTCTTAAAAATTTTTTATTTCATGTAAAACTTGAGGCTTATGGGGGTGGGCTTGGCACGCAACCCTTGAAGTTCGATTTCGGCAGGCCTCGAAAACCCTGATTCGGGCACCTAGGCGTGTCAAAAACGTTCGTGCGTTGTAGGAACAACAAATAACGGTCGCAGCTGCAGTTTATTTACCTATATCAGACGGAAATTTCAGATTATGACTCAGCTGTCCTCAAAATGCATAGTAAAAATCATAAATTGTAGTTTGTGACATTTAGCTGTATAGTTCTTTGATTTAGTCAACGGCACCTGATTTTGTCAAAGACCTAGAATGTCAAAACGTGCTGAAACAAAAGTTTTCTTCGAGCGTTTATTTTGTAATACATTTTTAAGTCGTTACGATAGAGGGGCCTGAGTTGGGTCAGGGCTTGATTTTTGACTATAACAAAATTGTTTCGCTTATTTTTGGCTATCCGACTTTTGCAATAAATAGATAGGTCTTAATCAAGCTAGAATCGAGAATCCTGTGACGGTGCTACCTTTAGGCCGATCTCTAGGAGCAGCGTGCCAACACACAACTTTTTCGACAAAACGGCTAAACTTTCGTAAATGATAAATAAAAAACAAGGCAGTCGGCGATCGTTTTTCTTCGACCCCTGCATCAGGAACCACTTATTGTATTTTGGTAAATATACACAATTCCTAAAAATTGGTTAGTTTTTTGCTTGCATGCAAAATTTCATGGCCCGGGGGTGCTTCGATATATATGCCTCACCCTGTATACTAAGAGTTTTAATTACAACTCAAAATAGCATCATATAAAAGAGTTATAACAAGACGAAGAAAATTTCCCCCCGCACAGTTTCCCCCGCGAAATAGAACAGAACCCAAATTCGGAATTGGCAATTCGCCAGCCTGAAAATTGCTACAATTTAGAAATTGAGGGCATCTATCTGCCCTAAACCCAACGTAAAGCACCTAAAGCCGCGAAGCTCATAACTCACCAAAAGCATGGTAGGGGGGACCCAGGCCGCCCACTATTTGGTGCCCTCTTCCTGTTTTACACAGAGATTGATGGGGGTGGCACCTTTTTGGGAAGGCACGAAAATCGAGGACAAGCTAAAAATGCAATAGCTGAGGGTAGGCTGGCAGCGACTTTTTCGGCAATTGGGGAAAAATTGCGGTTGGCAGCCGTATATAAAATTTGGTGATCGGAAGATTCTTCCGGTTCTTCCAGTCAACTTCCAAATACGAATTCCTCTCATCGCCAGAAAGAAAACGTTTCTGGGCCAGCTAGCAGGGATCATTTAGGAAAACTCGTGCCTATGAGCAGCCAGCAACCGAAAGGTGGGCAAATTCCGGAAGTTAATAGTTTTAATAAACTTTAGAAGTCGCTTAATAAATTTATACGAACGATTCTTATCGATTTTTTGATCTGTTCGTTTCATATTAAACTTTACCCAAAATAAACCAATTACAAAAATCATACTTACCATTGCGTAATCAGTTAGCCCCGGAAAAGCCTCGTGCTCTTCACCTCGTGTAGCATCTTTGCCAGCTAGGTCTTCTGCTGCTACGCCAGCTTCTGGCTTGGCAAAAAATTTGGGTAGGTTAAATTGGTAAATTGGGTATTTGGGTGGGTTAAGAGTAAATAAAAACAGTACTAAAATTTTCTAAATAGAATAATCTAGCCCAAATTTGGGATCGGCGACCTCGTGTGGAAAGTCAATCTGAGCTACATCGCCAAACCGCTGCACAGCTCGGTGGCGCCGGTGAGTCAGATTTTCAGGCCGTAACCAGTTCACACCGTTCAGATGCTCTACCCTTCCTCCTCCGGGCTGCGCGAGGACGTCGTCACGCCACGTGACACTCTTGGAGCATTAAAAAACGCCTGCAAGCGCACCTATCGTAATATTTCCCGATTCCGGTATTTGCCAGCGCTGTTTGGATTACAGGTAGTGCTAACAAGCTTGTCAGCGTCATCTGGCGCGTCGCGTAGCTGTCGAGAACTAGGGAGTAGGATTTGGCGCTTCAAGGCTTCTAAAAATTTTTCAAAAAACAAATATCGACCCAAAAACTGTTAAAATCAATCAACGTTCGTACCACATCCAATAAATTTAATTTTCTTTATCCCTTTTCTGTGCTTGATCACCATGGCATGCCAAAAACCAACGCGGGGTAAATCTGTGTGCGGAAGTGTGCGTGCTGACCAGTGCAACGGGGTAAATTCGGGGGATAAAGTAATCGAGGGGAAACGTAAAATTCTGAAGACTGAGCCGGAAATTCTCAAGCGCCAAAAGCCGGGCCGTGTACATTTTTAAATCGCTAGAAAGCTTCAAGCAAAGTTGAGCCCAAAATTAACAACGTCAAAGCGCTGAGCGTGGGAATTCGAAGTCTTGGGTAAAGCTCGTGCGACGTTTCTCGAGTCGGGGGAAGCTTACTGGGCTTACTTTTAGGCTCTAGAGGGCTATCAAAATAATGTGGTCGATCATCGGGAGTGTGTGAATAGGGGCGGGGAAATTGGAGAAACGAAGGCACACGCACCTAACCGTTGAGGAGATTTTTCTGGAAACGTGACAAAGTGAAGCGGGCCGGGAACAACGAATTTCCCTCTGGAGGAGACGAGGAGTAAGAGGAGCAGAACATGGAAATTGGTGTCAAACGGAAATCGGGATGTTTTGGAGGCCTAAAATTTGCATTTTTCGAGTTTTTGGCGCCGAAGAGGTGTACGAATTTGAAAAATCGCCACATTTTTGTGGAATAATTATTTTTCCGCCAAGAAAACCGTCCGGAAGACCCAGAAAACCCGAGAGATTTTCGCTGCACACCTTCCCATAGCGGAAATCGGTGCAAAACGGAAATTTCGGAGCACCTGTAAGCCCAAATTTTAACAAAATATAGTTTTTACAGGCCGGAAAAGCCTAAAAATTTTTAAGAGTAATTTTAACAGAGCCTAAACCGGACTAGAAACTTAGGTCAGAATTTTGTAGAAAATCATTTTTCGTCCAAAAAGCGTTCAAACGCCTACAAAAAACCGTATTTCCGCCTGACACCTCATAACAACACACAAAAAAACCATCATCACAACACGCGGGCGCGTCAAAACAACACATTTTCCTTTTGCCTGCACTCTCGAAACGGGAGGGGGTTAGAAAATCGGGTGAAGAAAGGGGGATATTCGTTGAGCAATATGTTCTAGTCAGAGAGCAGAGGAGGAGGGGTACTGTAGAAATACGGTGGGATCGGATACGGTAGAACATCTCTGGGGAGCCTAGTCGACATTGTTGATGTCGCGCATGGCCGTGGAAGAGGGGTCCGACACCACGTCATCTCGCCTTACGAACGTCACCTGGAAAGGAACGGAATTTCATAAAATTCTGAGATACATACTTTTTGTGATTGTGCCTGGGTTAGTTCGTTCTAGGACAATGAGAAGTAAAGATATATCGGAAACACACTATTTTTTAGCTCTAGTTTTTCTACCATTTTTTGAGCGGATTTAGCAGTGAAAATCAGATTCTAACACGCTCTCTGCTAGCAGGCTCTAGACCTAGTCACAAAAATTCACAAAGATCAGCAATACGATGAACGGAAAGTGCTAATTAGGTGTGCCGGTGCATATTTTTAAATCCCCGTGGTGCCAAGCTTTACATTTTCTTCTGGCAGGGTGCCAATTTTCGAGCGCAAATTTCGTTCTTATAATGACCATGCAAAAAATTCGGATGAAAAATGGGGCCCAAGACCGCATGAAAACTCCGAAAATAAGGGCCTAATTATTACAAACAATTAAGATAAAAATCCCCTGATACGGCTTTGCTAAAATTTTCCAGAATTCCGGAAACTAGCAGAGGATCTTCGGAATTTCCTAGTAACAGAGCGATTTTTAGAAAAGATGTATTTTCTTCTAGCATCCCTGAATCCGGATTTCATCTATCCGGATTTTAAACTACTCTAGGTTAAGCGCCTAAATCCCAAGCAGTAGACCATCACCAAAAGCAAGCCGAGCACGCGACGAACTACAACTAGCAACGGCACACAATTCAAAGGGTGACTTTAGAGTTGCGATTCGGAATTTCGATTTTATAGATTTTTCAGAAAGAAATAGAATGTCCCGTCCTTCCGAAACACAACGCTTTCCAGTGGGATTTGACCGGTGCACAGAGTATCTACGTGGAGCTAGCAACTCGGGGGTTAAACACGACACCGACACGCCGGGAAGAGGCCGGGGTACTGGACTATTAGCGGGGAGGAGGTAATTTTTCATTTTTATCGAATTTTAAGCAGTTTTTAGATATCGAAACCCATAACTTTGATGCAAATTTACGTTTAATGAATTTACGGAATTAATGAATTTTTGGGTCAAAAATCTATAAAAACCAGCTTTAAAAAAATTAAAAACGTTATAAATTATCAACAGGCAGGCATAGGACGAAAAAATTTAGTTCTTTTCGCCATTCGAACAATTCCCCCCGCTAACAGTCCAGTACCGGGGCCACCATATTCACTCACTCATCAAGTTTTAGCAACAACGCATCTGAGTCGCTAGCCGCCTACAAAATGAGAGGGGCTATTAGAGAGGCTGGCGGGGTTGTGGGGGTAGCGGAAGTGTCAGAGGAGAAGCACTCTGCACTAGCAAGCAAGCCGAGTCGCACTCACCTTTTGCTCGTGATTCTCGTCGACGACGGTCACTTGAATGGAGCTCGGGCCGAGCACGATGGGGGTGTCGCTGGGAGGGGCCGGCTGGGCGATGATGATCGGCGTCGGGGAGCTGCCGTTTGGCGCCTCGAATGACGGGTCGTCGGGCGGCATTTCTTGCTGAAAAAAGGGGATCAGAAATCGCAATTCGATAAAGTTATAACGCTTCTTTTCAATTTACGCTAAAAAAATGGGTTTAAAAGCCTATTGTCAAATTTTTATAAATTTAAAACTTGATTTTTAACCCTTTTTTCACGATTAATAATGACGATGCAAACGTTTTTCTAATACACACGGCAGCTTAAAATTTCTAAAAAGGCTTTCTAAAAGTTTTTTTTTTGGTAATTTTATGCATTTGGCCCAAAGGATCTCTGCTAGTTTTCAAACTTGCTCTTTAAAATAGCTTCAAGAGGCAGGCAAAATAACGTGAAAAGCTCATAAACCAATTTCAGGGTGTTTTCTAAAAGTTAGAACAATTGAAAAAAAAAGCTATAAAATCCATTTTTGCTACGAACTTTCTATGACGTAATCCATTTTCCTAAGGATTTCTGCTAGTTTGCCACCTTCTTTCGGCGTTTCAGGCGCTTTAAAAAGCTAAAAAGATCAGAAAGTAGTTAATTTTTAAAGTACAAAACTAGCAGAAAGATCCTGCTAGTTTTGTGATCCCAGAGTTTTAATAAAGTTTCGACGGCCGTAAAATAGCCCTAGAAAAACGCTCGCACAACTCTTCAAAGCCCTTGCGGACGTATTTCTGCTAGTTTCCCCATGTTTTAAATTCAGTCGGCTTTGAAATTTAGGGCAAAGTATCATAAAAGTAATTTTCATGTTTGAGCCCAATTTCTATACTCTATCATCATCTTTGCCCTATTTTTCATCGCTACCAGTCGCTGGTGAGTGCAAAAATGAGATATCATCTCTCAATTTTTCAGCTCCTTCCCTTTTCCAAAGTTGATTGATGCCTGATAAAGACAAAAAAATAAAAAAGAGTATGATTCACTGCCACTTTCGCGGCGCAGTAATCTTTTTCATGATCTAGGCGAACTTCCGTACAGTACAAACTTTAGTTTTTTAAAAATGTGGCTTTTTTAGGCCGAAAAACCCACCGTGCTATCGTCGCCCGGTTTGCAGCGTCCGCAGCAGAAATTGCAGCAGCAGTTACAGCAGAACAAGCAACCGCAACAACAGCAGCAGAAGCACCCGGTGACGACGGCCAATCCGAGGAATATCCACTGAAAACGATTAATAGATAAATTTATTTTCTCTACAAAAATTCCTCCAAAACGCACCTTGAACCACGGGTTCAACATCCAGCGCAACATCCGCTCGTCGTCCCCGAACTGGTCCATCAGCTTCAAGCCCGCATCTCCGTATAAGTCGTAAATCTCAACGAAAAACGTTCAAAATCGAGTATTTTTGGCGTTACCTTTCGCTTCTGAGAATTTGAGAGCACTGAGTTGGCGTAGTTGATTTCTTTGAACTGAAAAAAGTCATATAACGGCAGTTTTGTACTAGCTTTTAAGCCATACTTGTGTAATAAAACGCATAAAAGTAGCTAAACTAAGAAAAACCTGTTTTCTCGGGATATTACATTACATAACACATTACAAAAGCTATCGACATAGAGAAAAACTGTTCCTAATCAGGTTTAAAATGCAAAAAAATCTAAAAATACGTTTAGAAAGTCAAGAACTGTCATTAAAAAAGGAAACTACGGTAGATCTACAATTTTTAAAATCTAACTAAACTATAACTAAAAGGAAAATCTTCTAGAAGAGGAAAAAAGGTACTCCTTCTAAAGCTTCAGAAAAAGCTCGTTTGAAGCGTAAATCTTTACCTTATCCGTCTTCTCCTGGTCGCCATCGAGATTCTTGTCGGGGTGGTAGCGGAGGGCGAGCTTCCGGTACGCCTTCTTGATCTCCTCGTCGTTGGCCTTCTTCTTCACACCGAGAATGTTGTACAGGCGCATGTTTTTCAAGCTGGAAAGCAAGAGGGTATTTTTAGAACGTTTATGTTTTCAGGAAGCGTGAAAACAAGCAAAAAACTCACTCGGCGTCATCGCCTTCCTCGAGGCCACGCGGGTGGGCGCTGCTCATCGAAGAAGCTGAAAAAAGGCTTATATACAACGTTTGAAGCCCATGAAAACGGCATATAGGAAATACAAACTAAAATAAATATAATTTTACCGTTTATAGCGAAAATTGGGCTCGATAACATGTGCTAAATTGGTAAAAAAGAAAGTAATAAATTTTTCGGCTTTGAAGAACGTCGAAAACGGTTACGACAGGTTTATGGAGAAGCGCGCGGTTTAGCAAAACAAAATCGGGAGTCGAAAATTAAAAAACGAGAAGGATTTCTACAAATTACATTTTTTACAAGATTTCAGGGCTCAAAAATCGTCTCTCGTTGTCCGAATCGAGGAAAAACCATCGATTTAGCAAATGAAAATATAGAACGAGCAAAATTCCGAGAATTTATTAATTATTAATTTTATTCTGAGAATTCCGTAAAATTAACAGTTTAGAAGATTCAAGGCCCAAAAATAGTTTTCCGCTTCATAAAATTTGCGAAAACCCCTCAGTGAGCAGATTTGACAATTGAAAAAGGTTTAAAACCAGCAAAACTTCACCTAAATTTAAAGTTTTGCAGAGAAATATGGCTCGAAAATTTGATAAAACACGCAGAAATTCATCTAAATCAAAGTCAAATAGATCTAGAACTGGAAAACCTTCATCTACGCGCTAAAATCTAAAAAAAAACCCTCGGTGCATCCAATTAACGCGACAAGGCCACTCTTTCTGCCCGGCGCGCCTCCAGCAGCGAAATGCGCGCCCACACAGAATTCCGCCCTTTACCAGTTGTGTTCGTTTGGCCGGGCCAGGATGGCAGGCATACAGGGGAAGGGAGAATCTGCGCTCTGGCCCCGCCCCCTGTTCTCTTCCCCCGTCCCCTATAGCCTAGTCTTACTCTTTCGCCGCCTATTCCGCGCCCCACCCCTCCCCTGTCTGTCTGCACCCCCGCCGTCGGGCGCACTATCCGCCAGCCTACTCACGAACACCGCGGAATCATGTGGCCCAGGTGTCCTTGCACCTTTTTCCGAGCGTTTTTTCCTGCTTTTCTTTTCCGAATGTGTCCCATTTCAAGTCGCCCTTTTTGGGCTTTCGGCCCTGTCCACCCCGCTAACCTAGCCGCCCTCATCGGCCATTCATTCGCCAGGGCACCGGGTGGCCGGCGTAAACCCCGCACGTTTTTATTGACCTTTTTTTTGCTGTACATTCTTTTGGGTGTTGCCTTACCTGATTTTGATGTCGGGCAGCGCTTTTTCTATATAATTATTGACGTTTTTTTGCCGCTATTAAATTCGGACTAATGAGAGAAGAGGGGTGACACGGGTTGAGCAGTTTCCGGGGTTTTGTAGATTGTTTCGGCGGCTAAGGACTAGAGATCGCCATTTTGCAAACCAAATGTATAATACGATAATTTGTCAAAACATGAGAATCTGCCATGATTGTACGTCGATACAAGCACGTAAAATACGAAACCGTGGGATTTTTGCCAGGTTTTTTAGGTCGATACGAGCTTGGTGCTGCTGATTTCCGGTCCATAGTCTATTTTTAGCCGATAAACACTTTGGAAAAAGCTGCTCTACAAATTAACCAGATCAAAACGTAATAAATTCCAAAACCTGGGAATTTCCCGGGGTTTTAGACCGCTATAAGTTTGGTGCTGCTCAATTCGGAAATAGTGATTCTAGCAATAAAATTGATTTTAAAAAAGGTTCCTCAGAAACCCGTGGGAATCCGTTAGGTTTTTGAGCCCACGAAAAACCCCGGCGCCGAACATCCGACACAAACAGATATACGGGAAAACACCGGAATCAGTAATTCGAGAAAGGAAAAGCCCGTGTTTACACTGGGCTCCATTCGATTATGAAATCGGGGATTTGAACTTTTTTATGGACTGTTCGGCAGTAGGAAATAGAAAATATGGCTTGGTAAAAGTCAACAATGTGTCATTCGGTGGTAATGACTAGGACCTGAAGAGCGCTGGGCAAATAGACCACTTTTTGCAAGAATTGATTGTTCTCTCTTTGGGGTGGGGTTTCGAGATTCAAATCGGATTGATTTAGGAAAGGATTAAAAGAATTAAAATTTGAAAAAATTAATGCAAATGCTGTAGGAAGTCATTAAAAGAATTAAAAAAATTTTAAAAACTAGTAGTCCATAGAATCGAGGTTTTTAGTTTTTATAAAGCGAAAACGAAGGAAAGGAAGTAAAATGAAATATTTTAACCAAAAAAGCAAGGACCGCATAGTATTAACGCGCTCAAAGGACTGCGGTGTAGCTAAGGATTCATACGAGGCGCTCCTCTGCACATTTTTACGAACTGCGCTCTATGAATTACGTTATAACCTCGTTTCAGAACGTTTAAAAACGAACATATGTAGATTTCAGGAGGGATTAGACGAAACCTTAGATAGAGGAAGCAGAAGGAAATGCAAGAAAATAGAAAATAAGATGGTATGGGTTTTTTTGGATATCCAAGGGAGCAAAACGTAGGTTTGGACAGATAAAATCCGCAAAGCCACGACAAAGTTTTCAAAAATGCTAAATTCATGCCCCATCGATCATCATCGACCCGCCCGAAAAGGCGGAACATGACGATCAGCGCCGAGCGGGCTGATGTTTCTCCAGTTTTTGGGCCGGCAGAGCCCCCTCCCGGCGGCCGGTTCGATTGATTGGTCGATTCGGGCGGTGCCTGTTCCGGGGCATTGTGAAAACGGGAAGAATCCATACTTTTATGACGAGTTCAGGCCCGCTGGCCGACACCTCTTGCTTTTTGCTCTTCCCGCACACTTTGGAGTCCGGCTCTCGAAATGCAAATGCAAAATCGGCGGGTGAACCCGGTGATTTTGCAAAAACACAGCAGAGAGCGCTTTTCCGGGCAGTGATATGGGAAATTGGAATGCGGGCGATATTATGGGGCGCAAAATGGGCGAGTTCGGGTGGTGGTGATCAGTTTTTAGCCTGAGCTGATGATAATGATGGTTTAGGATTGATTTTTAGTACTTTCTACTTAACTAGGGTATCTAGGTTTTTTTAAGAATGCTGACCGCTTTATGAAGTTTTTTTAGCAATAGCAAATGACCATTTGATCAGGAATTTGCACGCATAAATTAAAAAAGGAACTTTCCAAAGCGAATAGAGCCCCTCGCTAATTCTCCTTGTCATGTGATAAGGGCAACGCTTGCAAGGAAGGATTATGAAAGAAAAGGTAGAAAGTTAGTTTGTTGATCAGCTTACAAAAATAATTAACGAATAATGAAGAAATTTTAAGATCATCAATTTTATCGGTTTTAAACGGTTTTTAAAATGGACGCTTGTTTAATTGTAATTTTGTTTTGTGATTTTCAAGCACTGAATTACGACTAGCATCGGAGATTCTTAGCAGGGGCAACCGAAAAATCTAAAACCGTCCGAAATGTTTCAAAATTAGCGTTTTATAATGGACAGATTTTATTGACTACGCTTGCGGAATAAAAGTATATTCCGAGATAGGTTCCCAAAAATCGCTTATATGTAATGTCGTAATTTTAAGGTATAAAGAGGCGATAATAGAGATTAGCTGATTGAAGTCCAAAATCGATATCCCACCCCAAATAATCGTACATACAAACCCGGGCAGTTATTCTCGTTTCCGGCCCAAGCGGGCGCCCAGGCACGTGCAAATATTTGAGTGAATCAGTCAGTAGGTGTAGGCAACCAAGGCCTATTTCCCGGTAAGGCGATTGCCCGCCTTGTCCTTTGCAGCCCGGGATATTGTGCGCTCTTTGCAACCGCCCAGGCTCCGCCCAGACAAATGTGCGCCCAGCGGAAAGAGAAAGAGACAGAGAGAAAGCCGGTCTGGCCGGGCCGGGAAAGCCGGCCGATAGGTTGACCCCCCTCCTTCCCACGGCCAGCCGCAGCCTGCCCTCTTCTCATGCTCCTCAGCCTGCGAGGAGGAGCACGAGGAACATATGCTTGCCCATTTCCCGCTCGTCATTTTCTTGCCGCGCTGCCGGGGAGGGTGCCCCCGATTTTCATGTCATAATTCCGGGTGGAACCTCAAATTTGCCCCCATTTTTTTAGTGCTACAAAATTGGATTTGAATTCTGTTATTTTTATATTTGTGTATTTTTTAGCTTACTGTAATTATATATTTCAAAAAGCCAGCGATTTTCATGCCATACCTATTTGTGCAAATTTCGGTTCTGCATTGCATTCGAAAAAAGGGAATTTGCTGCCATATAAAATTCAGCTCAAATTTTTTTAGCGTTTAAAGCGAATTGACGCATTAATAAATGTATCTAATTCAAGTTACTAAAAATTGCTGCTGAATCCTAAAAATTTAAATAATTATTTTACGTTAAATCAGGGTGAACAGCAGACGATTTTCATGCCATAATGCTCGATTTTCAACGCCAACCTTCTAAATTTTCTTTTGTTTCTCGGCTTTTCTAACGCGCTTAATTTTTTTTTGATTCCTGCAATCAGTATAACGTTTTATCTTTTTTTAGCAAAAAAGGACCGTAAGAAAATCCAGTAGAAAGACAGTTATTTCCAGCTACAAACTCCAAATTTGTCTCGCTCGCAGTTTTTGGGACTTTTGGCAAATTAAGAAACCGATTATGCCATGAAAATCGTGGAGCTCGATCTCGAATTGCTTTTTTCTATTTTCGATGCCAGTGCGATTTATTTGACACAAATAACTCATTTTGTTTACCTGAAAACATGCTCTCGCCCCCGATTCCAATAACCTTCAAAACCCACCCATTCTCGGGTGGGCTCTTTCAAAATCCACCGGCCGGCCTTTTCGGTGGACAGCCGTTTTTCGGGTGCTGTCCCCCTTTTGCCAGTGAGCGTCAAATTTTCCGCTAGGAGGAGTCGCAGTGCGAAAAGAGCAGCAACAGCAGTATGGGTGGCCTTGACCGAGTGCCCTTTCGCGATAATTTCGCTATGCAAATTGAGGGGCCCTGGGGGACAAGGGGCAGCTTTTCAAGGCGCTTGAAATCGAAAATAAAGCAACGGGCTTATGAAATGGATTTTTAAAAATTGTC